AATAAAATAGAATAAAATCTAACATATGTAACTGTAAATATACGCGTGTGCGCAACATTCTACGGAATATCCAGTCACACATTCATGGAACTTTGGTCTCACAAAATCAGCACGACATACGATTCACTAAGCGGGGTGGGAGGAGCCTGTTTCCGTCCGTTTGTCTTTTCTACATCAAACGCTTTTATCGCAGAGTCATTTGTTTTTGGTTTGAAAGTCACGGTCAGGCTGAAAACTATTCACATACACTGAACCTTGTGTGTATCTTTCAAACTGTGAGTTTATTCAAAAAACAGAAAAGTGGGTAGTCGTACCGCTGTAAAAAGCAAATAAACGCTCAACGACAACGCAAAAACACGGACTGAGAACGACTGACCCGACGACGGACAAAGTGCATGTCTGGGTCACTTGTTCACACCATGGAGCTAAGAAGCAATCCCGCACACAGAACATGGCAACGAAAAAATACAAGATTATCTAAAATCAATAGAATTGCAAGAAAAACTTACCCCAGAACGCCTTCGTGGTAATGTTGATTTGGATTTCGCCATGGTGGTATACTTCCAACATCGTTGTGTTTTTGAGAATGGTTCAGTCCGTATGTGCTCGCCCGATTTTCACGTTTTCTTTTGTACGCTAAGTTCGTTGTGTCGTTGTTAAAATGTCCTTGTTGTCCATTCCTGTAATGACTAGAGTCTCTGTTGGTGTCCAAGGGGATAAAATCCTGGCCTCGGTTATTTTTTCTTGATTCCAGGGCGGTACCAGTGTCGCTCATCCCGATCCCTCCCGACAAATACAAATTGTTCAACCCTTGTCGTGTCGCTTCAAATATTTGCATCCAAAGAGCATTTGCTGGTCCAATTTGTTCAGGTTGGTACCAAGCTATTTGTGGATCCATACAAACTGTGGTATTTCAGACAATTTCTAGCGGTGATAGTAGCCAGAAGTCGTCTCAAAATCCACCTCGAATACCAGCGAAAATCCAGTCAGTAAAGTTCAAAATGGCTGTCTTGATGGAAGCACGTTTAACTGCGCATGTCAAAGTGAAAGAAATTTCGTCCATTCATTGGGCCCTCTATGCTGAATAACTTAACAGTTTTTATCGAAATGACGCGATTTTGTGCTTTAATATTGACAACTTTTAGGCATAGAATATTCTAACCATGTCGGGCTTTCAAACTGTATGTATTAAAAGAACAAACTTTTAGCAGAAATTTACAATGAGCATAAAACATACCGTTTTCTGTACACGACACTCGAGTAGAGAAGAATTTAAAGTCACACGAACCAATCTGATTGGTTCTCCGTGAGGTCACGCAGGGGGCATCATCAAAACTCATTCTCTGATTGGGTAAACTTTTACGCTAACGTCATGATTGACATGCGAGACGAATGTCATTTGGTTGTGCAACTCTGCTGATTTTGCGGTCTAGATTGAGCTAGTTTGTGACCGGTTCGGTTACACTGCCTATTGCTGATCTTGCAGCAACTAAGAAATGTAATCAATACGGGGAGGTAGCTATCACACAAGAGGTGTAATTCTGTACACATGTTGGGATTGAAAAGTCACTTCTGGAATACTTTATAAGAGTACATGTATGTATGTGGGTACAAAATACGATCTTATATTTTTTCATTTTATTTTTAAAAACTAGATTATTTTACTATTATTATTTTTTTAGTTACTTTTATTTGCAGACAGATTTGTGTAGGGTTGCTGGTGTGCTTTCATGATAATATATAACATAAATGAAAAATATTACAAAAAACATAATAAAAATTAATACAATAAAATAAAAAAAGCCCAACAAGTTTCTTATTAATAAGATTAATACAATACACTTGATAGTACAAATTAATCATGATGACATTTTGATAGAAATTTACATTTTCATTTGCCTTTCACCAACAGAAAATGTGAGCTGGAATTAGACTATTGTGAGACAGGTTAGTTTTACCCAACAGCAAATATCCAACAAAATATACATGTTTTGGTATATTTTATGTTGCTGGAATTATTTTTGAATATTTTTGTTTTTTATCAATAACTGATGAAAAGAGGGAATTTTTCATTTGAAATTTGTTTTCAGAAGTGTTGAGAGTTCTTCCCACCCAAATAGTTCTATGTGCAAACACCAATAACAAGGTCGGGGTAAAGCTCTACTGACGGTTACAATGGAGCTAATGTACCTATGTGTATGTGTGTCTATGTGTCTCCAACTGTTGTCATTTCTTGTGCCTGTTAAGTTGCAAGTCAAGTACTGATTTATTTGTTATGAAAGTTTCACTGATTACTGGTTGTGAGTAGAATTAAACCTGATTAGGATTGGGTGTAAATTTGCGAGCCATAATGGATTTATATTTTTATCTTTTGTTTTGCTCTGTTATTTGCACATATGCTTCCGCGAATTACAGTGGTGTTTCCATGGTAAAAATAAAGAAATATTCATTATACAATGAGTGCAATTTTTGGTTTAGAATGTGCTGCTATTGGAGATGTGTTACTAATAGAGCAAATGCAATAATATTTCTTTTTTGAATGTCATGGGAGCTAGCTGTAAGTCTTACTTTGATTTTTTTTGTCTTTAGTTCAACAATGAAAAATTCATATATCTGTTTATTTAAACTAATTAAGACTGAGGAACAATAAACCTGTTCAGGAGGAATTATTGAAATCAAATTGCTCAAAAACACTCACAGCAGATAGGTTAGCTGATAAAGCGCACAAAGCAGCTATGATACAATCAAAGATATACACCACATGAAAAACTTTTCAATACAACACAAATACCAATATTGACCTATGCAAGTGAAATATGGGGCATCTTTCTGAACCAAAAATTCTGTTGCCAAATTTTGAAAGTAGGGATCAAATCCAGCAAAATAGGATGTAGAATGGAGCTCGGTAGAGAACCTCTCATCTGCAAAGTCTACAGATCGACAATAAACTACCCACATTCACAATTTCTCATATGTGTAGACGCTCTAATAGAAGCCTCTGTTGCATTATACCATTTCAATAGAAGCCGCGGCTTCTAATACAGATTTTACAGTACAATCGGTACTTATACCTCAAGAAAATAGACAAACGTAACTTAGCATTCTATGCTTACAAAGACATGGAGAAATATAAGCAACCAGGGTTATGTTTAACAATTCTTAAACACAGTTTAAAATTATATGAACATGAAAATATCAACAAATTAACAAAATCAGAAAACATCGATCCAAAACCATTACGAGAAATACTGTAATATTAAAAAAATCAAATTACCAAATTTTATACATATTTCAAAAATTTACTTGAATAAGAGGAATACATAAACATATCAAAAAACAATTTCAAAATTCAGACTAAGTTGTCATGACCTGGCAATACAAAAAGGATGGTACACACAGTAGAAGACACAATTTGCTCTCAGTGTCACATAATAAAAGATAAAATACATCATTTGATCAACTGTAAATTATTAAACAAAGAAAGAAACATGCTAATCAAAACAAATAACTCATTGAACAGCAAATTTGCAAAATTTTATAACAAAAAACAATTTCAATTTATACTTAAATCAAACACCACAACTATGGTTGCATCATCACATTACCTGAAATCTTGTAGCAGGATTAAAAGCGTGGTATCGTCGCGCTGCGCATGTTTGACATTTGTGTTGATAAACATTGATTTTCCCATGATCCAATGCTCTCTTCAAATGGAAATCACAAGTATGAGGTTTGACC